CCAGGCAGTTCAGGAAGATCTCAGACTCCTCCAGGTGTTGCTACACCACCCATTCCCAAAATCACTATTCAGATTCCCAAGGGGACAGTGATGGTAGGCAAGCCCTTTTCTCATAGTCAGTACACCAGCAGTGGTTCTGTGTCTTCCTCAGGCAGCAAAAGCCACCAAAGCCATTCTTCTTCTTCTTCCTCATCTTCTGCTTCCACCTCAGGAAAGATGAAAAGCAGTAAATCAGAAAGTTCTTCAGGTTCCAAGTTAAGTAGCAGTATGTATTCTAGCCAGGGGTCTTCTGGATCTAGCCAGTCTAAAAATTCATCCCAGTCTGGGGGAAAGCCAGGCTCCTCTCCCATTACCAAGCATGGACTGAGCAGTGGTACCAGCAGCACCAAGATGAAACCTCAAGGGAAGCCATCATCACTTATAAGTCCTATAAGTAAACCAAACATATCCCCTTCTCATTCAAGGCCACCTGGAGCCTCTGATAAGCTTGCCTCTCCAATGAAGGCTGTTCCGGGGACTCCCCCATCTAAAGCCAAGTCCCCTATCAGTTCAGGTTCTGGTGGTTCTCATATATCTGGAACTAGCTCTGGTATGAAATCATCTTCAGGGTTAGGATCCTCAGGCTCATTGTCCCAGAAAACTCCCCCATCATCTAATTCTTGTGCAGCATCATCCTCTTCCTTTTCTTCAAGTGGCTCTTCCATGTCATCCTCTCAGAACCAGCATGGGAGTTCCAAAGGGAAATCTCCCAGCAGAAATAAGAAACCGTCCTTAACAGCAGTCATAGATAAACTGAAGCATGGAGTTGTCACCAGTGGTCCTGGGGGTGAAGACCAGATGGATGTTCAGCTGGGGGTGAGCACAAATTCTAGTCATCCCATGTCCTCCAAACATAACATGTCAGGAGGAGAGTTCCAGGGCAAGCGTGAGAAAAGTGATAAGGACAAATCAAAGGTTTCCACCTTGGGAGTTTCAGTGGATTCTTCCAAGAAGACTTCAGAGTCAAAAAATGTAGGGAGCACAGGTGTGGCCAAGATTATCATCAGTAAGCATGATGGAGGATCCCCAGCATTAAAGCCAAAGTGACTTTGCAGAAACCTGGGGAAAGTGGTGGAGAATGGCTCAGGCCTCAGATGGCCTCTTCCAAAAACTATGGCTCTCCACTGATCAGTGGTTCCACTCCAAAGCATGAGCGTGGCTCTCCCAGCCATAGTAAGTCACCAGCATATACCCCCAGAATCTAGACAGTGAAAGTAAGTCAGGCTCCTCCATTGCAGAAAAATCATATCAGACCAGTCCCAGCTCAGATGATGGTATCCGGCCACTTCCAGAATACAGCACAGAGAAGCATAAGAAGCACAAAAAAGAAAAGAAGAAAGTAAAAGACAAAGACCGGGATGGGAACAGGATAAAGACAGAGACAATAAAAAGTCTTTGCATGAAGGCAGAGAATTGGTGTAAATCACCCATCTCTTCAGACCAGCTCTTGTCTATAACAAGTAACACGATCTTATCTGCAGACATACTCTCAAGGCTCAGCCCTGACTTTATGATTGGGGAGGAAGATGATGATCTTATGGATGTGGCCCTGATTGGCAATTAGGAATTTTATTTTCTAAAACAAAGAATGGCCAGAGAAAACCTAATGATATGTTTGTGTAAAAACTTCCTTAAGGGTTGAGTCAGACAGGTCTGGTTTGTGTTGAAAAATCTTAAATGGCATGGCTTTGACACTGAGCTGGGTGAATTTAGAAAGGCATAGCCAGACCCTACTAAAAAGACCACAGGGTTTGATTCTGGTTACTAAGAATTCCTTTTTCCTTTGCCAGAAAAAAATATGTTAATCTACTTGCTTAAGAAAGGGGGGGTGGGCAGGGCATAAAGAGAGGGAAGGGTGGGAGAATTTTGTGGGAGATATTCATATAAATTTTTTTCTCCCTTTTCCCATTTTTAGGTCATGTTTTAAACTCACTTTAGTGCATGTATTTGAAGGGCTAGGCTGAACATGAAGAAGCAATATATTCCTTGATGCATTTGCATGAAGGCTGTTCACCTTTGTTTGGGTAGTTGTCCATTTGAAGCATGGGCAAATGAAGGACTTTGGTCATTTTGGACACAAGTAATGTTTGGTGTCTGTTTCTTAGGAGTGATTGGGTGTGGGAAAATGATTTTAGCTATTTATTTGTAATATTTTAACCCTTTATTTGTTTTTATACAGTGTTTCTATGAGGTTCAGCGTTCAAAATTATGAGCGACAGAAGAGCAAGGCTTATTATTTGGTGGAAGGGGGCTTGTAGCTTGTGCTGATACGGTAGTGTCAAGCACACTAGTCAGAGCCCACCTTAAGAGTTAAGTAGAAAATCCAAAATGATATTTTTGTTTTTAGGAGGTTTTTCATAGGGTTCAGATATAAGAATATTAGGAGTTTCTTCCCTGTGGAGGTATTAATTTATATTCTCTTTCCCTTAAAAAGAAAAGATGGGCTGGCTTTTTAAGATGAAAACATATTTTCAGATGAAGCAAGGTTTAATGTAGGACAGCCTCCCCAACCTAGTAGCATGAAAACCATTACAGAATTAATAGTTGTTCTATTCCCACAATGGGCCAAAAGTCCACATCCCAGCATTTTGTTTGTGGGAGAACTGATGCCATTCCTGAGAGCTGGGCTCCCTGTTTATCTTCATTGCAAGGAGGAGTCCAGACTTCAATCACTATATGCTCCCTAAGATAAAACAGTTAAAAATTTGCAGCCATAGTTCACTTAAAACAATTTCAAGCTCACTTGAAGAGAAGTGGGGACCTGGAACGCTAGCTGGGCATGAAGATCCTTGCTACTGTGTAGCAATACAGTTGGACCTTTTTGGGGAAATAGGTCCGAGTCTGGATTCTGGGGGATATAATTAAGAAGCCCTTTTCATAAATATAGAAATCCAGGAGACCATTTGAGTGCAACACAAGTTCTCAGTATTTGGAAGGTCCTTTCAAAATTTCGCGGCCTTACTTTGATTTTGACACCTGCACTGTGCCATTCCTGATTATTCCATTCAGGAGCTGTATCAGCAGGATGGGGCATGGTACCCAGCACAACTCTTCTGGATTAAATACATATGAAAAAAAAAAAAAAGTAAAAGTTGTCACCCTTGAATATTGCATTCTTTTAATAAGTTATGTAAGACCAAATAGAAACAGCTATTCTAAAACATAGATGAGATTGGGGCAGAGAGTTTAAATCAATGACAGTGAAACCAACTAGAACAGGAATAATGAAAATGTAGACCCAGTGTGAAGAATGTAACTAACGTCATGATCATTATCTCTAGAAACTGTTGAATGGGAGCTCATTTTGCTATGTATATTTTCACCAAAAATAAAATACTAATTTTTAAAAAATAGTGTCTGTAGTTCTTGGCAGTGTTTAGGACTAGCTGATAGGGATGTGTAGAAAGAATTCCTCCATCTCATGGGTAGCTGAAGTGGATCATTCAGATGACCTTTAAGGATTCTATCAACCCTGAGATAATTAATTCCTTTCAGCAGTCTCTTCTTGTCACAACTTCTTATCTTTTTCTATTTCTGAATCTCCATTTTCTAAAAGCTTTGCATTGGTGCTTCCATGGCAGCTGAAGGAAGAGATAGATGCGCTATCTGGGTCCATGGGAATCTGGTTTCATAAGTGTATGCCGTTGGTTGACCAGATTATAAAGGACCTCTCCTTTTTTAGCACAGTGGTTAATTGTGCCTCTTACATTGTTATTGTCTTTCTAGGTGACTATAGGACGAGGATTTGGTGTCACATATCAACTAGTATCAAAAACCTGCCCTCTGATGATTTCCCGAAATCACTGTGTTTTGAAGCAGAATGCCGAAGGACAGTGGACAATTTTGGACAACAAGGTATGGCAATTTACAGGAGCCTAATGGCTTTCACTGAATTTTTAAGTATTTATTTATTTTTTTAGCATAGGTAATACGTGGTACATAATTAGGTACATAAAATAATTTCTAATGACTTTAGAGTTGGAGTTTTGAAGGGAGCACCTGATTTGGGACAGGATTTCCTGTTCCAGAAACTAGATTAAATTAAGTTGTGGGGGAATGGATGATCCAAAGACCCTGGGAATCTGCTGAAGTTTCTGGACCACACCTATGGCCCAGGGGATGCCATGGGGTAGGAGAAGCAGAACTTATTGCACTTAGCTCCTTCCCCTTCCCACTTCTTTCAATCCCCTCCCCCTTAAAACCTTTTTTACATAACTGAGGAAACTTTCCTTTGAATAAAGGGGTTTTCATCTATTTTTTAAAAAAATAACTTTTTATTGTGATTTAAGTGAAAGTTTACAGAGCAAATTGGTTTTCCATTCAACAGTTCATACACAGTATGTTTTGTGACACTGATTCAATCCCCGCAATGTAACAGCAGTCTTCCCACTTCCTCCCTTTGTTTACTGTTTTTGCATTCGTCCTTTCCTATCACTTCCTGCCTTCTGAGCTTTATCCCTGGGCAGATGCTGCTATTTCAATCTCATAGGGCCGATTGTCTAAGGAGCGCGTACCCCTCTAGTGTTATTATTGTTCACCTTTTATACTTGCCTGTTGCTTGGCTGAAAGTTTAGCCACGGAGATGAAATTCAGTTCCAGGCTTAAAAGAGGACTAAAGGCCATGATCTCGGGTGTCCCACTAATCTCTATTGGACCAGTAAGCCTGGTGTTTTTTTTTTTTTTTTTTTTTTTTAATTATTTTGAATTTATGTTCCACATTTTTCTTCCACTCTATCCAGAGCTTCCTATTGTGATCCCTTTCAGAGTTGTCAGCAGTGAGAGCTGGGCACCATCTAATTTTCCTGGTCTCAAGTTAGTGGAGGCTGAGGTTCATGTGGTCCAGTAGTCCTTTGGACTAATTGTTTCCTTGGCATTTTTTATTTTCCTCATGTGTTTTTGCTCTGGATGGGCTGGGGAGAGACTAATAGTTGTACCTAAGATGGCCCCTCATGAGCTTTTAAGACCCCAGTTGCTACTTACCAAAGCAGGATGTAGAACATTGTCTTTGTGGACTCTGTTTTGCCAGTTGACCTTAATCTTCCTTGAGACTAGGATCCTGGCCTCCCAAGCCCAGTGACTCATCCCCTCATGGTGTTTGGTTCTGGCTAAGAAGTTTTCATAACTTTGCCCCCTGTATACTCTGCTGTATTCGTGGATATATTTGTAGCACAGATAGATACATATGTAGAAATGTCCTGTCAAACCTATATATATTTGTGGATGTGTTCCCATCCACCTTCCCACACCTATTCAGCTTGCATGTCTATGTATGTGTCCACTCGTAGGTTATTGTTATTACTGTTATTGCAGGGTTATGCATGTAGTAGAGTTTACCTTTGTTGCTTTGGGTTTTTCTTCTTCAAGCAAATTTGAAAACCATTGGTCTATTATGAATATACTAAGGGAGGTCAAGTAATGTATAAAGTCCAGCAATTAGGAAGTACTTAAAATTCAAATAGCAAGTGCTGGGGAATACAGTGAAAATGCAGACAATGTGGTGAGAGAAAATCTAATGTAAACAGTTAAGGATTAGGTAGCATGAAATGTCTTCAGACGTCATTTTATCCCGTTTCACTGCTCTGGTTGGGAGGATCTTAAAGGTACTTGTTAGGAAGGAGGCTTGCTAATAAGCAATCTCATTCTGCATGCATAAAACTGTTGGACTTAGGCTATTGGAGAAAGTACCTTCCTGCACTAGGATTAAGTTGAGTTGGCCCTGTGTTGAAGGAGAGGGTGTAAATGCTAGGTAAATTGGTTCCACACTCTTAGCAAGGCACTATGAGCAGAATAGAAATTGCCACTGTAAAGGAGACCTTAGAGATTAGTTTTCCACCTCCTGTGGATGGATGAATATGAGGCCCAGAGATTTAAATTGACTTGTCCAAGTCTATCTACATAACTGACCGGTGAGTGAGTGAATGAGCATGACTCAAACTTAGGTAGGTCATATTCTAGTAAAGGACACAAGCAATTTGCTATACTGGGTGCATGTTTTTATTTTTTTTAAGAAAGTAATTATTACATATTTATAACACAGCTGCAAGATTTTTGTAGTTGTTATAAAAATATAATACAACATTTGCCGATTTAATAGCTGCAAGATTTTAAAGCCTCTGCAATAGTTATTAAAACACTATATGAAAAGATATTTTCTCCCCTGAGTTGGCAATCTGAGAAATAGGGTTTTAAGGCATTATAGAGGTGAGTTCTCTGCTGCTTTTTCCCTTGATTGTGTATACTGTGGCTATGCTCCATTTATGAGTTTAGAAGATTTTGAGAGTGTGGGAAGCCCCCAGCTGACTAATTTCTGCGTTCCTTTAATGTCAGCCACTGGGGCACAGAGGCAGCCTGTCCCACCTGTGATCATGACTGTGCTCTGGAGTTGCAGGCCAGTGTTTGCTTTGTACTCTTTCTTCTAAGGGTCCTTCTCAGGTCGCAGTCTGATAATGTAGAGAAGAGCAGATTCCTGATTCCTCCATATCTTTTCTGTGCAATTGGTTAAGGCTCTTAACTTTGATTTAGTTTGTGAGGTAACTGATTTTTAAGAGAAACTATGACTGTGATGTTTTCATGGAACAACTATTCTCACAGGTAAAAGGCCCCTTTCCCTTTTTTTTTTTTCTTCAGCATAATAGATGTTCCCTTTTTTTCTGCTGCCCTCTTCTGTTGATTCTGAAAACCAAATTCACTGCTGTCGAGTCAGATCTGACTCATAGCAACCCCTCCTTGGGTTTCTGAGGCAGAATCACTATGGAAGTAGATTGCCCAACCTTCCTTCCGAGGAGTGGCTGGTGGGTTTGAACCACCAGCCTTCTGGTTAGTAGTCAAATGCCTTAGGCACTACGCCACCAGAGCTCCCTTCCGTTGGTTGTTGTTGTTGTTATGTGCCTTCCAGTTGGACCTGACTCATAGGGATCCCTCCTTGGGTTTCCAAGGCAATATCACTATGGAAGTAGATTGCCCAACCTTCCTTCCGAGAAGTGGCTAATGGGTTTGAACCACCAGCCTTTTGGTTAGCAGTCAAGTGCCTTAGCACTACACTGCCAGAGCTCCTTTCTGTTGACTAGGGAGTTGAATTTCAGTCACAGGATATTATTGTTATGGTCATGTTTGAAGTCACTTGCCAAGTCTCTTTCAAGAAGTAGATTCTTTAATAAAACTCATATCTAAGGTTTTTTGTCTGCTGAAATGGCTATAAAGTGAGAGCTTAAGTATATCCACTACCGCTGCCCATCACTGAGTCAATTCTTAATCATGGTGACACTACAGGATAGAACAGAACTGCCCCAATGGGTTTCCAAGGCTGTAATCTTTATGGAAACAGATTGCCACATCTTTCTCCCATGGAGCAGCTGGTGGATTTGAATGGCTGACCTTTTGCTTAGCAGCTGAGTAACCACTGTACCCCCAGGGCTTCTTTGGGCTTAAGTATAGTTGCAAAAATCGTAACTAATACAATTTTAGTTTAAAATTGGCTTCTTTTTTAAAAAAAAAAAAAAGCAATAACTTTGGAGAGAAACGTATACGATTAATTATTAATCAGCTGTAAAAAGGAATGAAATTCTGATCTACTCGATGACATGGATGAATTTGAAAACATTATTCTTAGTGAAATAAGCCAATCACAGAAGGACAAATATTGTATGATTCCACTTATATGAGATATCTAGAATAGCAAATTCATAGAAAGTAGGTTAGAGGTTACCATGGGCTGGGGGAAGAAAAAAGGGGGGGAGTTATTATTTAATGAGTACAATGTTTCTGTTTGAGGTGATGAAAAACTTTTGGAAATAGATAATGGTGAAGGTTACACACGTTTTTGAATGTAATTACTGAACTTTTCCCACAAATGACGTACCCATGTAAATAATGCACACGCTCGTATAGTGTGCACAGGAAACTAATGTGAGAGAGGATCGCATGGTTAGTAAAAAATCGTACAACTTGCACATTGCTTGCATAAAAATATGATAATGCCATTGAATTGTGTACTTAAAAATTATTAAAATGGCAAATGGTGGCATAGGGCCTAAGACATATGACTGCTAACCAGAAGACTGGAGGTTCAAACCCACCAGCCACTCCTCAGAAGGAAGGTTGGGCAATCTACTTCCATAATAGTACCGCCTTGGAAATCCAAGGAGGGGTCGCTATGAGTTGGATCCGACTCAACGGCAGTGAGTATGGTGTTTTTTGTTGGTTTGGTATATTTTACTACAATAAATAAAAAAAAAATTTAACTTTACAAGATTGTTAACTCTGCACACAAACTATGAGGATGGTTTAGTTTTGTAGGTTTCTGTTAATTGAGAAGCTCTTCAGATGGTCCAGTCTTTGTATTGGTATCCTGCACTTTCAGAAAAGTAGTTGTTTCAAAGAAGTCATAATCTGACTTGTTTCCAGTCCTAGAGGCTTTTTTTTTTTTTTT